AAAAAAAAAGTGCACGATCTAGAGGGTCTATAGGGCCTCACTACAGATCAGACTCATGGTGGTCTTCCTGTTTTCAGCCTCCCAAGTGCTGGGATTACAAGCATGTGCTACCACACCCAATCTCAATCAATGTCTCAGTACACTCTGGGGGCACTGCTGGCAGGGCATGCGAGGGATTGAACCCTGTCTCTGTGTCTGCCTGTGCAGGTGCTTTAATCCACTGAGCTATCTGGCTGGCCCTTAGAGGGTGGTTCTTTATCTGAGGAATAGCTGACAAAATTTTTTTCTCACTCTGTGGATTGTCTCTTCACTTTGTTAGTGATTTCTTTTGCTATGCAAAAGGTGTTTAGCAAGTTGAGATCGCAGGTGCTGATTCTTTGTTATAATTCCTGTGTGATCGGGTTTTGTTAGTAAAGTCTTCGTCTCCATCTGTGTCTTCAAGAGTCCTACCTTGCAGCAGATTTAGTGTTTCTGTTTTAATATTTAAATCTCTGACCTATTTCAATGTCAGTGTAGTGCATGGTGAAAAGTATGGTTCTAATTTTAATGCTCAGCATGTGCAAAGTCAGTTTTTCTAGAAACATGTATAAAACAGGCCATCTTTATTTCAGTGAAGATGTTCAGTACCTTTGTCAAAGATAAGGTGGCTCGGACTGGGGATATAGCTCAGCAGCATAAGCACCTGCCTGGCAAGTGCAAGGTCCCAAGTTTGATCCCCAGTACTACAAAAAGAAAAAAAAAAAAGACAGCTAAATATGTCTGAAGTTGTTTCTGCATCTTTCAGTCTGTTCTGCTGAACCTCAGGTCTGTTTAGTTAGGGTTTTTTTTGTGTGTTTTGGGTTGTTTTTTGTTTTGTTTTTGATTCTGGGGATGGAACTCAGGACTGGCACTTGCCAGGCGCTTGTGCCACTGAGCTATATCCCCAGCCCGTTTGATTTTTGTTTTTGCCAGTACCACACTCTTTTTATCAAAGTAGTTTATAGTATAATTTCAGGTCAGACATTGTGCTGCCCCATCTTGCCTTTGTTGCCCAGATTTGCCTTTTCTAGGTCTCTTTGGTTCCAAATGAATTTTAGGATTATTTTCTTTAATTTCATGAGATATGCTGTTGGAATTTTGATCAGGATTGTATTAAATCTGTATAACAATTTTGGAAGCATTGTCATTTTCAATATATTGGTTCTTACTACCTAAGAGCAAAGGATATCCTTCCATTTTCTTTGAATTTTTTTTTTTTTTTT